TGTTTACCAATGTAAGCTTAGCTTTCACCTCAAGATTTATTCTATTGCATTCACATATCATCCCTTCCTATCTTGGAATTGGAGAGTGCAAGCAAAATTCATCAACATACTTAGGCCAAATCCTACTAGGGAAAATAATAAACATTAACAGCTGGACAAAATCATTTTGTTGTATAAATTAGATGGATTAAAATAATCACTGTAAAAAAAAGTTTTGAAGCTACTGGGACAAAATAAAATTGAATATGCACTGGGTATTGGAAGATACCAATGAATTATTGTTGATTTTCTTTGGTATGATAATGTGTGTGTGTGTGTGTGTGTGTGTATTCATAACTGTTAATGATACTTCAAAAAAGAAATAAATACCATGGGTATGCTATCACGTGAGACTTACAAATCTTAGAATTGTAGTCCTTCATGGCTGTTAAAAGACTTTAAACTAATCACCTAGTCCAGGCACAGGAAGGAGGTTTCTATTTAAAAGCCAACTCCAATTTAATAGTGCTGTCCTAAGAAGAAATTTTGGTCTTTAAGACTCAAAGAAAAAAAAACTGTCATAAACCATTAGCAATGTTGGGTAAGGGTACAGGGTAGAAGAGTAGCCCATGTGCTATAATTTGTCTCCTTTAGAACCACCAGTCTAGTGGTCTTCCAGGGAGTTTATTACTTGTCAAGTCAGCTCCTTACTTCTTTATACAGCTCTGTCTATTAAGTTATTTCTTATATTTTGAGCTGGAAATATTTTCTGTAGCTTACAACCACTGATACAATGGTAAGTCTAGTTCCATTTAACTTGACAACATTTGAACTATTTAAGGTAGTTCTCTTGTCCTTCTCAGGTCTAAAACATAAACTAAAACTAAAACAGTTTTTTCAACCCCTTCTCACATGGAATGGTTCCCTCCCTGTCTTCACCACTCACCAATGACAGGTTGGTGAATAATTATCTCTGTCCCCATTCCAGTATGGCACTGTAAACTGTCTGTTGGTGTCATATTCCCAAAAATGACTTTATTGAGTTCAAATTTTGGTTTTCGGGATCTGTGCATTCATTTTGAATTCAGATACTCCACCTCGAGCTCCATTTGTTAGTCTGATAAAGGCTTCTAAACTCTTTCTAGTTATCAACCACATGTCGGTCCATTTAAATGGATTTCTCAGAGTGTACACTGTCTTCCCACATTTCCAGGCCCAGGCATGCCACTAGCCAGAGAAACCACAGGAAGACTAAGAGTACCCTTCCTGATTCTTCAGTGGCTCCTCAAATCCACCTATAGATTTTCAATCTTACAAAGAGAACTTTCAGTCTTACAACTGAGACCTGAGGGACACTAACAAAGCCAGACACTATTGGACAATGTGTCCTCATTGGCAGAAATGAAAAATGGGCCACCACGAATTGGCTCAACATGAGTAAGAAAGCAAGGTTTAGTCACTCACTCAACATGTGCTGCAAAGACTGAACGGGGCCACTGAGCCAAAGAGAATGAATGACATGGCCACCATGTCATCAAACACATAGTCTCTCAAAAGTAAATAGCTCAAGTCAAGTAGTCAGTGAGGTAAAGGAGCTATGGGAGGTGAGGACAGAGGTTTCTTTGGCTGGGTAGGGAGGTGGCAGAAGAGGTGGCAGAAAGGAAGGGAGAATCAGGACAAGTCAGTGGAGGAAACAATAGGTCTAGAAGGGCAGATGGGACGGGAACAGTGGAGACGTGAGAAAAAAATAAATATCAACGGGCTGAAAAAATTCGCTTGATCCACAGTCCATGAATACTGCCGGCAGGAAATAAAGCTTGGAAAAACACCAAGAGGCAAAGCTAAATGAGATCGTTTCCCATAGCAGGATCACCTAATCAAAGGATATTTATATCAAAGAAGAAGCAACCCATCAAAAGACACAGGAAGGTGGGGAAGAAAAAAGCAAGCAAAAAAAAAAAAAAAATCAGAACCTAGGATAAAAAGGAAAAATAAATACGGGTCAAGAAAGAAAAGCAAAGGGTGAGAAGAGAAGAAAACAGATACTGTCCTCCCGCTAACAGAAGGCACCTCCGTTATTTATTTCCCTTCCTTGACATCGAAATGTACTGGTTAGTGGCCTCTCTTCCCTCCTGAAGTGAAGCCCCAGACTTAGATTGCTAACCCTTATTTGTCTTCCATCTCCATACGCTCTTCGTTAACCATTACTTCCCCTAAACTGCCATGCCGCCCCCAGCAAGACAGTCAACACGACTGATCCAAAGGAGTACTGACAAAAGAAAAGCATGACATGAAGAGAACAGGTCACTGTCTCCAACATACCTGCTAAGAGAGGAGAGAATCAAATGAGGTTCTTTACACTCACCTGAGGGAAGGAAAAGGAGGATAGGAAGAGGGGGGTCAACAGAGGAGAGAGCGGAAGAAAGCGCTGGGACCCCATGGAGCCACACCATCACCGGAAGGAAGTCAGGCATTCCTTCATGTATCGCTTTTCCACCCTCTATCCCCCCCTCCGCTGACGTATCCAAAAGCCACACATCCAAACTCCACAACAGCACCCATTAAGTGTCCATTTGCACATCACTTCATCAGTCCCTCACGATTAACCTGGGTCCCTAACAGCGTCCTGCATTTCCCCTTTCAAAATGGCTGTCAGTATGATTTCTCATTGTTGGCTTCTCTGCCAACTTGCAAGCTCCACGAGGGTTCTCACTGCTGTAGCCCTAGCACCCAACACTGGGTCCGAACTCAGTAAATTACTTTTAAATGAGTAAGACACTACACAGACAAGTAAGTGTTATCACTCAAATTCCCTAAAATTCTGCAGTACCAAAACTTTGTGTGGCCAAGATTGCTAACTATTCATGTTCTCCAATCCTTAGGGACACAGCTATATGGATTTTGCAACCTCCCTTGTAGTTAGGTGTGGCGTGGGACTAAGTTCTGGTCAATGTGTTGTGTGTGCAAGTGATTATGCCACTTCCAAGACGATCCATAAAAATCCTCCTAAGCTCTCCTTCCTTGCTCCCTTTCCCCTCTGGCTGGCTGGACTGAAGATGAAGCCCTTGGGTGACCTTAGAAGCTACATGTTGATACCTCGGACCCTATGTGGAAAAGAGCCACCTCTCTATCTGTTCACAAGAGAACTAAGCTTCTCCTGTGTTTGAGCAATTATCATTTGGGGTCTATGTGTTACTATGGTTAACCTATCTGATTCAGTAATACAGTTAGGTTACAACTGTATAAAGTTAAGCTTTCCTAACCTGTACCAGCCAGCAACCGTTTGTCACTTTCCTAAGGAGAAATAAAGGCCATTCAGAGGACAGTGCAATCTTTCTCAATATGTATGACTGAACAAAAGTTCTGTCTGCTCATAATCATCAGGAAAAGATAGTAACTAACTTTGCCTTGGGCTTGCCTGGGCTTGGGCCACAGCCACAAAATAGGCTAGGCCAATTCCAGTGATGGCAGGACACCCGGGCAGTCAGCTGGCTTGCCTCAGCTCCTCTCAGAAGCCCGGGTCAGGCCCCACAGGCTCTGGACAAATGCCCAACTGCCTTCTCGAGGAGTCTGGCCCTGGCCTCATCTGTGCTTACCTTGCAAAAACATCGTAAAACACCGCCCCATTGTTTTCAGTGCCAGCTGGGGAGAAGCTGCCAAAAGCTTTTTCAAAAAGCCACACCAACCTGCACTCTGCCACAGGACGAGGGCTGCACAAAACGACTCTCCTGAATAAAGCATTCAGCCCACTGGACAGAGATCCCACCTCAGACAGAATTCATTTCCCTGTGGCAAAGCTCTTCTTCTGCTGCTGTGTTTGACCCTCTCTGTTGTTTCTACCTAACGCTAGAGATTTCAAAGACAACTCCTCTCCCCGAAGGACTAGAGCATTAAGGTAATTGACTTACATTAAGAGAATTAGTAGCGTGTACTGCATATAATTGCTTGTTCAATCTAGGTCTAGGAAACTATCAAAAGGTAAATTATTGACTAACTCTTCACTTTTCTTCATTGCAGGTTTGTTTATTTCAAGAACTTCCTGATCCAGGGGCTCTTAATCTCCTAGGGGCCATACACCCCTTTAAGAATATGATGAAATGCCTTTACTTGTTCACAGAAAACACACATGTCCACAAGCACACACACGTACTACATATGATTCCAGGCTACACACAGGATGCCGAGTTCACCCACTGGTCCCGGGTTCATGGAGCCTCTAGGGCCGAGGTCAGCAAACTTTCCCTCCAAAGAGGCCAGAGAGTAAATATCTTTGGCTTTCTGGGCCACATACAGTCTGTTATTAATTACCACTCAACTCTGCTGCTGTAGCGGGAAAGGAGCCATGGCTGAGCTCCAACGGAATTTCATTTATTGACACTGAAATCTGAATGTCAAGTAACTGTCATGTGTCACAAAATATCATTCTTCTTTTCATTTTTTCCCCAGCCATTTAAAAAAATGAAAACCATTCTTAGCTGGTAGCCTGTACAAAAACAGGTGACAGACCACAGTTTGTCAACCCCTACTGTAGGGCAGAGGTTCTGGGTGCAAAAATAGTACATCTTTATTTTTACTAACTTCCGATGGGAATTTCACATTTCCTTCCATTATGAAGGTAGGCAGCCAGTCTCAGTAGTGTCACCGGTAATTGTCACTTGGTCACCTGCGGAAATCACAGGTTTGCTCCTACCCCACTAGCATGGTCACAGATAACACAAGATATTGACCATGCTCATCACTATTCTTCAGTTATTCTCATTATTAGATCTTCTGCCGTACCTTGCTATTTAAATGTGCTAACAGAGAAGCACATGTATTATTCTATCACAGATTTGATATTTAATATTTTGATAACTGTATTTATATATGATTGATTTCCATTCTAACCATATATATTTTATTTTGTGGATTTAAAAACAGAATTCTGAGAAGCAGTCCAGAGCTTTCACCAGACACCAGAGAGGACCATGGTACAGAAAGGTTAAGAGGGCCTGAGCAGGCAAAACCATAGCATCACCTACCAGAGCATTCACATCTTCTGTTTTGTGGATGAGCATCCGTATCTCCTCTGGATCACCGCTGAAGATTGCTTGGACCAGTGGTGGCTGTAAACACAGGAGAATTTGAATTACAACTATAATTAAATACATTTGTTTGTATTCAGATGCAGATGGCTACAAGATTTGTTCCCCAAAAGTTTATTCAACAATTATCAATTGGCAGACAAAGATGAATGTGGCTCAGACTCACCCTCACTAGAGGTCTAGCGGGGGAAATATTTGCATAAAGAAATAACTGTAACACAATTTGAAAGCCATAACAGAGAGTCATATCTAGACTGAGGCTATGAGTATGACATAAAAATCACCCATAATTGAAGACATCCTTGAAGCACCCTTAAGTTTCCCATCAAGGAAATTACCAAATCTGCAGTTTTAAGCAGACAGTCTCCATTGTTCCCAACCTCTCGTTAGACGGTGTATCCTGGTACCCCCAGACAATTCCACTTCTAGAGAATGTTAATGGCCAAGTTTCTGGCCTCCTGAACATTTGTCAATGTTTGGAAAGCCCTTGAAATCATTCTCAAACGCTTCCCATAGCTTTAGCCAACACTAAAGGCACTGAGTGTTTCCGAAGTGATTACATCCCACTGTCCATACACAGTAAGTAGTGTAATGGTGGGGTGGGGATCATAAAGGGGGATACTAGTAGCAATTATTATTGAACTCACCTACATTACACAAGACCCAAAAGAGAGTAAAAGTATTTATAAAGTGTGATGGAAACACAGCTGAAAGAGAAACTAGCTCTGCTTGGAGGGTAGGTAGGGTGAGGAGAAGAGTGTATCTAGAAAAGCTTCATGGGAGGCACTTATTCATGAATGAGTATGAGTTTGCAAACAGGGAAGGAAAGGCATTCTAGGCACAGGGATGAGGGTGTGCAAAGGTGTGGACATGCAAAAAACCTGGTATCTTAGAAATGTTGCCATCAACCTGGTGACCAGAGTGTGGGGTAAAAGAGGAAAAGTGGTAGGCTCTGGAGTTGATGTTGGGCTTGCTCCACATGGTGAAGAACCCTGTTCAAAGCCAGCTCCGCCACTTGCCAGCTCCGTGCTGAGCCCACTTCCCATGTGTAATCTGGAGGTGAGCATGATCTTTGTTGCTCAAGCCCTCATAGGATTGCTATTAGGAACAAGTGAGATAATATATGGGAAAACCCTCTGTAACCGTACAACCCGACACAAATAACAGATACTTTTTTTAAGAAATGCTTAACACTGCTAATGTAGAATTCGACAATTTTTTTTCAAACTTTAAAAACTTCAGCAATTACACATACAACACACACTCACACCTTCTAGAAATACTTTACAGTAGTTCTTTCTTTCTTTTTTTTTTTGGTAGAGATAGAGTGTGAGGAGCAGAGGGAGAGAGAGAATCTTAAGTAGACTTCACACCTAGCGTGGAGCCCAATGCGGGGCTCAATCTCATGACCCTGAGATCATGACCTGAGACAAAATCAAGAGTCAGACACTCAACTGACCGAACCACCCAGGCACGCCCTTTACAGCAGTTCTAGTCAGCAATCAGATGACAGCAGTTTCCCAGACGTGTCTGGCCATAAGAATCACCTGAGATGCTTGTTAAAACAATGTTCCAACATCCCTTCCCTGGAGATTCTGAGTTAGTCTATCTGGGGTGGGGCTTGTGAATCTATTTTTAATAAATGCTCACTTAACTCTTGGAACACTGGCCTAAGGTGAAACCATCAGTATCACCTGCCTCAATGTCTCCCAGTTCTATCCATACGAGAATCCCAGTCCCCATTAGGCCTATAAATTTTTTCTCTTTTTTACCCTCCTGTTGCCTTTCCTACAGGTTCTGATGGTGTTTCTTGTTATCTGAGGCTACCAATATAAGTACTATCAGTAGAATATAAGACTCCTTGAGGAAACATTGTATTAAAAATGTTAAGTTACAGGGGCACCTGGGTGGCTCAGTCGGTTAAGCATCTGACTCTTAATTTTGGCCCAGGTCACGATCTCAGGGTCGTGAGATCGAGCCCTCCATCAGGCTCCACCCTGGGCATCAAACCTGCTGAAGATTCTCTCTCTCCCTCTGCGCCCCCACCCCCACTCTCTCTCTCTCTAAAGACAAATAAATGAAATAAAAAATAAAAATGTTAAGTTGCAGATAAATATTTTAATGTGCCAGGAATTTTTTTGCAGTTTTCCCCCTGCCACGAAAGTTTCTAGCAAATGGACAGATAGATATATCTTTCCTTTGTCCCAAATGCTCTCAATTTTACCTTCTGATTCAAAGATAGTTTCTCAAATTGCCAACAGTTAAGTAGCTGGAAAGAAGTCTTGAAAAGAAAGCAAGTTTTCTACTAGTTTGGTGTCAGCTGGTTGATCTGCCTAAAGACAAGAAGATCCTCCACATGCTTCTGACTACCTGCTAAAACCAAGTCTCTGGGTTATCTGCCCCATGGCAAGGACCATATTTCATAAAAAAAAAAAAAAAACAGAATCAGACACAAAGTCAGGATTTTAACAACAATATGAAAACTTGTTTATCTGTTCCATAATCCTCCATCTGCTTTGCTCATGTCCAAATGCTTGTGTGTACTTTTCTGCCTTTTTGAACCTGAAGAGAAAACAACAAACCCAACAGCCATAGGACTTAGATGACAAGCAGGGGCAGAGTCTGACGAGACTTAATCATTTGGGGTCTACGTGTTAAATGAACAGTGATCAATTAACAGTTGAGAACTTAACACTGCTAATGTAGAATTTGACAATTTTTTTCAAACTTTAGTTTCCTTTAAGTGACCAATAATTCATGTGTCACTAGTTGGTCACTTCAAGGAAACACAGCTAGTTAAGCAAAGGCTCTCGTCACTCATTAGTATAAGGAACACATACAGATATTCTGTTGCTTTAGCTCTCACGTTTCTCAAGAAAGACAAGGGTTCTAAGCTATGGCTGGAATGTTCTCAAGGAGAGCCACCCTGACAAGGCTGCCAGACAAGGATGCCAACACAGTCCTTCAGCAGCGAGCTTCCCAAATACCTCCACGCCCAGTCACTGAGACTATTTTGAAGGGTATCATCGAAACCCAGAATGGCGTGCACACGTGCCCCACACCTCTGGGCCTAGCTCTGCTAGAAGCTGCTTTACAGAGTACTGTCAATGCAGAGAATTTCCAGCATCCATTGGGAAGAAGCCATTCTTCCAATCCTGCAGTCACATCTATACACACATATACCCACCTGTAAGTGCATTTTCACCTACACATACATAACTGTATCGACACTCATGCATGTATACACAGAGATACACATTGATTCACACAAAAATCCCTCACACTCTCTGGGGAAGAGAAAAGTGCCTGTTCTCCAAAGCGCAGAGTCTTGCTAGGCGGAGACCTCTAGCCCCAGCAGGGCTGGGTCACCACCATGACAACGTCACTGTCTTCACAGCTGTGAATCCAAGCATCATGGGATTCTAAATCAGAACTTCACAGATACATGCTTTGCTAGACAGATGCTGTGTGTTTGCTTAGATGTAATTCTTGAACTAAATTACTGTGACTCTTTAGCAAGTCATATTTAAAAAAAAAAACACATATTATGGGTGTTTCTTTTTTTTTCTCCACCCTCCCAAATAAAACATACCTAGAGAGCACTTTGGCATTCCTTTTTGTTGGGATTTTAATCCAATCTTGCTGTTTTATTTTTCCCTAAATACTTACCCTGAGAATAAATATTTGGAAAAAAAAGATACATCTAAATACTGCCTCCATTACATGATTTTAAGAAAGGGGGAATATTCTAATTATGATATTCTTGCTCATAAGTGTCAAGTACTTATACTCTGTTGACCATTAATTTGACAACCACTGTATCTACCAGAGAGTTTGCCTTGACCTTGATAAGGCTTAGAAGCAAAGTCTCACCTGCAAGCGAACAGAGTCCTAAGCCTTGGTATGTACAGGTGTTTCTTTATGAAGTTTCACACACTTCAACGCTAGCATATACAAAATATTAGTGCTCTGTGTGCATTAGGGTACAAAGTTGAATAAATACAAACTCATAAGAAGGTTCAAAGTTGGGAAAGACAAATACTGGCAGGAAAACCAGTATTTATCATAACCTAAAGAAACTGAAATTCTTAAGAGAGGTATGCAGTAAGTTCAGCATCAATTACTAAAATTCCCTTAGCATGCTTAGCAAGTATAAACGGGAAATGATTGGCATGTACTGTGGATATTGGCACAGTCCCTCAAATAGATTCAGAGGGCAGAACATACTTCCTGGACCTACTTGACCAATGGCACAAGTGGGATTCAATATTCAGATGGGACCTGTCCTTGTCTTCCAACATCACTAACTATTAATACCCCACCGTCTCTTCCAGGAGTGTTGACAGCTGCCTTCTAGAGGTGACCGTCTGCCAGGCCGATGACATTGGATCCCACTAAGACAGCAGTGCAGAGCAGAAAGGCCCCTGGAATTTAGCAGCCATTATAAATCACAGAGCTAATCTTGCCAACACTAGGAACTGAAAATTCATCACCAAAAGCCACTTTCTCTACCCACATCCCCTACCAGCCCCTCCAATGCAATATTTTTTTATTTTACTGTCAGTCTTTTGAAAATAAAATGGGAAAATATCTGGTTTCCAAAAATAAGACACTGCATCAAATGTGTATTGATACAGTATTCCTAAACTTTGAAGTAGAGTTACAACTCCACTAGGGGGAGCAAGATGGTTAATTTGTTACCTGGGAGATAAGAGTAACTGTTCAGGTTGTGTAAATAAGACAAGGAAGCTGGAAGATCCACTTTGTCAAGACCTAAAAGAACTCGAACTTCGGAGAGAGTTCTTGGTAATAAATATGTATGTACCCCCCCAAAAAAATAGCTTTTCTATTGATCCCCAAGGGTCCATGTTTTTAGGAAATAAGAATAAATGCAATCTAAAACTCAGGTGTTAAAGTATCATTTTCATCACTTACACAACTGAATTCAACTAATCCTTTAATTCCACTTTTAAAAAGTGCTACTCGTGGCATCAGACAAGCCATTAGTTTAAGAGTAAAGC